TCTCTCTCTCTCTCTCTCTCTCTCTCTCTCTCTCTCTCTTCCTTCCTTTCTTTTATGCCACTGGGGATTAAATCCGGGATTTTCACACTGAGCAATATCCCTGTCCATTTTCTTATTTTGAGATAGTGTCTCGCTGCGTCACCAAGTTGTCAAGGCTGAGGTTGGGTTTTCAAGTCTCCTGCCTCAGCCTCCCAGAGTGCTAGGACTGTAGGTATGCACCACTGCATACTCAGATTATACACATTTTGTGTATTCTTGACATTATTTCCTGTGTCGCTAGGGTTCAGTTTAGGTTGTCTTTGCCAGTGCTTATGGCATCTATTATTTCTTCTCTGTTTTCTTCCAGCAGTTTCAAAGTTTCTTGTCATCTAGCTAGGTCTTTGATCCATTTTTATTTGATTTTAGTAGAGGGGGAGAGATGAGGGTCTAGTTTCAATCTTCCAAAGGTAGATTCAGTTTTCCCAGCACCACATGTTCGAGAGGCTGCCTCCTCTCCAGCATCTGTTTCTGGCTCCTTTGTCATATGGCCGTATGTGCTGGGGCTTGTTTCTGCATGTTCTACCCCATTCCATTGGTCTGTGTGTCTGGTTTTGTGTATCATGTGGACTTTGTTACTATGGACTTGTAGTATGATTTGAAATTGGATATTGTGATACCTCCACCATTGCTCTTTTTGTTAAGGACCACTTTGGACCTTCCTGGTCTTTTGTACTTCCATATGAATTTTAGGTTTGGTTTTTCTAGATCTTTGACAAATGTGGTTGGTATTTTGATAGTGTTCCAATACATTTGTAGATCTCTTTTGATAACGTGACCATTTTAACAATACTAGTTCTTCTCATCCATGAAAAGCGATCCTTTTCCATTTTCTAATGCCTTCTTCGATTTCTTTCTTTGTTGCTCTGTAATTTTCATTATACACATCCTTTACTTTCTTATTTGGGTTGATTCCTGGAGTGGGGAGGCTGGTTTTCTTTTTCAACCTATTGTAAATGAAATTATTTTTTCTGGTTTCTCTCCTGGCAGATTCATTATTGGCATGTAGGAAAACGATTGATTTTGTGTGTGTGTTGATTTTGTATCCCGCCATTTTGCTAAATGTTTATCAGATCTAAGAATCTTTAGGGTCTTATGGATAAAGGATCATATCATCTGCAGATAGGAATAATTTCACTGCTTTTCCTTTAGAACTATACTGAATAGGAATGGTTACAGTAGACATCACAGTCTTCTTGCTGGTTTTAGAGGAAATGTTTTTAGTTTTCAACACACAGTATCTTGGTTGTAGGTTTATCATAAGTGACTCATCAGTTTGAAAAAAAGATCTTTTTATACCTATTTTCTTTACTGTTTTATCATAAAGAGTTGTTGAGTTTTGTCAGAAGCTTTTTCTGCATATATTGAGATGATCATGTGGCTTTTATGCTTGGTTCTATTTATGTGGTTATTACATTTATTGATTTATGTATATTGAACAATCCCTGGGATGAAACCAATTTGGTCATGGTGTATGATCTTAACGTGTTGTTGAATTCTGTTTGCAAGCATTTATTGAGGATTTCTGCACCTATATTCATTGAAGACATTGGCCTATAGGGATTTTTTGCTTTGTGCTTTGTTGTTTTGTTTTGTTTGTCTTGTTTGAGTCCTTATCTGGTTTTGGCATCAAGGTAATGCTGGCTTTATAGGAAGAATTGGAAATTGTTTTTTCCCTTTCTAGTTCATGGGAAAAGTCTGTGGAGCATTAGTTAGATCTTTAAGGTTCTTGTAAAATTCAGCAGTAAATCCATTGGGGTTTAGATTTTCCTTGGCTGAGAGAGTTTATATTACTATTTTAATCTCATTGCTTGTCATTAATTTGTTTAGATTTTTATCTCTACTGTACATGGTTCAATTTTGGTAGGTCATATGTGTCTAGGAATGTATCTCTTTTCTAGAATCTCTAATTTATTGGAATATAAGTTTTCACAATGGTTTCTAATAATTCTATGGATCTCAGTAGTGTCTCTTGTAGTTTTGCCTTTTTTCACCTCTAATTTTATAAATTTGGATCGTCTTTTGGAAAGTTTGGCTAACAGTATATCAATCTTGTTTATCTTTTCAAATAACCAACTCGGGTTCATTGATCCTTTTTATTGTTCATTTAGTACCTATTTCATTAGCTTCTGCTTAGATCTTTAGTATTTCTTTCCTTCTACTAGATTTAGGTTTGGTTTGCTAGTGTTTTTCTAGCTCCCTGAGATGCATCATCAGGTTACTTATTTGAGATTGCTCTGTTTTTCTGATGTAGGCACTCACAGCTATAAACTTCTGTCTAGAACTGCTTTCATTGTGTCCCACAAATTCTGATATACCATGTTTCCAATACCATTTTATTCTAGTAATTTTTAAATTTTTCTCTCGATATCTTCAATGACCAACTGATCATTTAAAAGTGTCTTATTCATTCTCCATTTGTGTGCTTTCTGCAGTCTCTTTTGCTGCTGATTTCTAATTTCATTCCATTGTGATCTGACAGGATGCATGAGATTATTTCAAATTTTTGTATTTATTAATACTTGCTTTCTGGCCTGAATTATGTTCTATTTTGGAGAAAACTTCATGGGCCACTGAAAAGAACGTGTATCCTCCTATTGTTGGATGGAAAACTCTGTCAATAACTGTTAGGTCAATTTGAACTATAGTGTAATTTAACTCTGATTTTCTTTGTTGATTGTCTGGTTGACCTCTCTATTTGTGACAGTGGATTACTAGAGTCACCCACTATGATTATATTGTGGTCTAGCTGCCCTTTAGGTCAGATAGTGTTTGTTTTATGAATTTAGGTGCACCAGTATTTAGTGCATATATATTTACAGTTATTATCTCTTCTTGGTCACTTGCAACTTTGTCACCATGCAGTTTTCTTCTTTGTCTCTTCTGACTAATTTTAATTTGAAGTCTACTTTGTCAGGTATAAGTACATATAGGTACTCCTACCTGTTTTCAGACTCCAATTGCTTGCCATACCATTTCCTATCCTTTCACTTTCATTCTATGTATGTCTTTACAGGTGAGGTGCATTTCTTGTAGGCAACATTTAGTTGGTTTTTAAAATCCAATCTGCCGGTCTGTGTCTTTTCATACAGCACATTGTGTTATTATTTAAAAGTATGTACTCATTCTGGTCATTTTGCTATTTGCCTAGTGTTTGATTCATTCCTGATTTTCATTCATTTATCTGCTTTCCCAATGATTATTATTCTTTCTTTTGGTCTCATACTTGTGGTTGTCCTCTTCCTTTGTGTTTAGGATTCACTTAAGTATTTTTTGCAGTACCAACTTACTGATCACTAATGGCCTTAGGATAAACTGGTGGGATATAGTGACCTAAATAGGCAGTTATTTACTTTTGGGACTTGAAATACATCATTCCAAGCCCTCCTGGTCTTTAAGGTTTCTGTTAAGAAATCTTATTCTGATGGGTTGACCATTGTAAGTGATTTGGTACTTCTCCTTAACCACATTTAATATTCTTCCTTTGTTTTGAATTTTTTGCAATTTGACCATGATATGTTGCAGAAAGCTGCTTTTCTGGCCATGTTTATTTGTGGTTCTAAGTGCCTCCAGTACCTAAGTTACCATCTCATTCCTCAAATTTGGAAATTTTTCTACAATAATTTTAATGAGTAGGTTTTCTGTGCCTTTAACCTGCAGCTTTTCACCCTTGTCAACATCAAAGACTCTTAAATTTGGTCTTTTAATGTTGTCCCAAAGCCCTTAACCTATCAAATCTGTTCTTAGATTCTTACTCATTTTTCTTTATTACTGATGGTCAAGTACACCCACTATATCTTTAAGCCCTGATATTTTTTCTTCTGACTCATCTTGCCTACTGCTGAGCCTTTCAACTGAGCTTTTTATTTGCCTAATTTAAGTTTCATTCCTAGGGTTTCTGGTTGGTTCTTTTTCAGAACCTCTATCGCATTGCTGAATTTGTCTTTCATATTTTGTACTGCCTTCCTTAAATCATCCAACTATTTATTTGTATCTTCTTTGAGCTCATTGATCATTTTAACTCTCAGTTTCTAAATTCCTTGTTGGGAATTTCATCCACTTCAGTATTTGTGGGATCCATTTTGAGGGAGCTATGAACATTTAGAGGCATTGTATTGCCTTATTTTCTCATGATTCTTGTGTTTGTGTTGAAGTCTCCAGATCTGTAGGGATGGATATCTCTTTCACTATTGTGTGGAGATCTTTTTAGTAAGTGATCTCTGTGATGTGCCGTTAGCTGTCTCAACATGAAAAATCCACTCGGCCTACTGAAAGGACTGTGTTCACTCCCTAGCACTTCAATGGGAGCAAAGACTAACCAGCAGTAATATCATCATCTAAAGAACCAACCATATATCAACATATAACTTAAACCCATGTAAAAGTTCTCTCCTATTTCACTAAGCCAGATAGGGAGAGTACTAATGTAGGGCAGGCTAGGGAAAAGGAGAAATGGGCATTAATGATAATATTTATATACCAGAAAAGAAGAGAGGGGGTGAGAATTGAGAGGTGATGAGAGAGAAATGAAAGTAAGAAGGGAAGGGAATGTAAATGGAAACTGAAGGGAAATACAGGGAGGTTAAATCCAAATAATGAATTAGCAGAAATACAAATTTAGAAAAGCCTATGAAACAACCCTTGGTGTGAAGGAACTTAACAAAACAAGGTAAGACAGTATAGAAGCAAAAGCCATAATGAAAACTCACAGACACATGTGCCATGCGTGAGCCAAAGAAAAAAGAAAATACAGGTCTGAGAGTCCTCCTTGTGGGAGAGTTTATACTGGAGACAATTATTCCCCCCGACTTCCATTCTTCTGTTGTTGGATGCTGCCCAAAGAAAGAAGGATGTGAAAATCATTTTTTAAGCATAGAGTTCTTCTCTGCCTCTGTCCAAGTAGGAGAAGCTGAGAAGAGCAGCCTGGAGGCTGCAGTACTTGCCTGGGTCCTGCAAGATCGGCCCACACCTGCCAGCCCAACTCCATTACACCTGGAAATGAGGGTCTGTGGGCAAATCAGGACTGCGGGCCCAGGCTCTGTAAAGTCCTAGACCGCGCCCCTGGAGGCACGGCTTGCCAATGTCTGCACACTGCCACATTTGCCCTGACTGCCCCCAAGCAGAGCAGAGGGCCAGGTGTGCAGGGTCTGCCAGGAGGAGAAGTCGCAGCACCCAGCCACCACCGGTCTCCACAGCAAGGCTCCCACTGCACACCTTCCACCATGGCAAAGCCTGATGTGGCTAAGCTTCTGTCACAATATTCAAACTGCTGGTTTTTGTTTCCTGCTTTTATCTTTTTTTATTTCCATCCTGCTGACTAATTGTGCTCATTGCGAGTGCCTCTAATCTGCCACCTTCCAGTCTCCCCAAATCACTGGGTTTTAACTTCCAGAAAACCTCCTGAAAGTACACATCCTCCTCTTAGGATCTTGAGTGAATGAACAGCATTAGTGCTTCATCACACTCCACATCAGTTGTAATCTCTTTTTCTTTTTGCTTCTGTTTCCACTCTCAGGTGGAAACACTCTCCCCTCCATAAATGTTTCTCCTCTGAAATAGAAAACTTGTGCTCAAAATTAAGTCTTCATAATTATAGGCTACATTGGATGTTTACTTCAGTTGATAAGATGAAAAGATGTTATCAAATGCAGGTCTGACCCCCAGGTATGTCAAGAATCTCCAAAAACAAGCATTCTACCTGCACTCACATATTCTAACAAATATTCTAATAAGCTTCTGACACATTACCTAACACAAATGAGCCACTGATCAACAAAGAGGAAACGCTCCCAAGTGCAGAAGAGTACTGAAGCACTGGAGGGCCAGAGGACCAGGTCTGGAGCGATGTTCTGCAGATGCGAGTGCACCGTATTGTCTAAAGGACGAGATGGCAAACAAGAGCTGCATTCTGCTTTCACACCTGTTCTCAATCGCCATGCCCATAAGGAGGGCAGTGCCCTGACCAGGGAATCAAGATGGCTCCAACGTTATAGCTCCCACACCAATGGCTTACCACTGGGGAAATCCAGTTCCCTGAGAAGTGTGAGCATGTCTCAGGTAGACTGTTCATCATCAACAAAGAGCCCACTCGTTTTTTTTCTTTGAAAGGAATGCTTTCCATAAAAACCTTGGCTTTTAAAAAAGTAACAAACAAACAAATAAAACCTTCTTAGCACAGAAAGTTCTTGTACTACCTTGGCTTAGATCATACACAGAAAGCTATTTTCGCCTTCTGCTTTGAGAACAAACAAGATTCCAGTGGCAAAATAGTCAACCTGCCTGTCCTTGGAGCACTTGATTGTCTTCTGTCTCATTCCACTTGATGTGATATTGGTCTCTATTTTTGTCAGCCAATGTTCCTTTAAATTATGAATTCAACAGAATGAAAAGGCTTCATGGTCAACTTTCTGGGACTCTGAAGGATACTAAAGGTTGTAATTTTTATATTTTAGTCAATGACAAAAAACTTCCATGACTGTGCATACTGTTACAAAATCATACCACAGAGAAAAATAAACCAGCCAAATATACCCAGAGGAACCATGTCAAACTGCCAACATTAATTCCTCTAACCTGGCTTTGACTCAGCTTTTACAGCATTTGCCATGCTCTATTGTATTTTTTGGATGTCCAATTCTTGGCTTCTCAGGCCTGGAGATTTAGCTCAGTGGTGCCGCTGCCTGCCTTGCAAGCACAAGGTCCTGAGTTCAATCCTCGGTACCAAAAAAAAAAAAAGAAAAGAAACAATTCTTGGCTTCTCAAGAACAGAACATGCAAAGATTATTATTCTACAACAAAGAAATTTCTAGGTAGGTTGATTTTTTTTAAGTATTGTGATTATGCTGTAGTCATATAATACATATATTTACATAAGCACAACTTCTGGTCTCCTACAGTGTGCCACAGAGAAAGAGAAATCTACAGAGGGAGGGAGACTCTCACCTGTGTAAAACTTGACCATTCACGAGGATAATGAAACGTGGGCTTCCTGTTCCTCCAGGTGTCCCCATCCATGGCCTCTCCTTGCAGGGACATCTCACGGGGGGGTAGGATGGCAATGTCACTCTTCATGATTTTATTCACATCTGATTTCACAATCAGATGGCCACCCCAAGAGGGGCTCGTTCACAGACTCGCTGGAAAGAAACAGGTCGAGTGTGTGATTGCATACACTGGGACCATGCAGATGTCCCAAGGGCTACAGTGGGTGCTGTGGTGGGGTGCCAGGACCAGAGGCCCTTTCCCCAGCTGCTGGGAGTGCTGGTGCCCAGCAGCAGACAGCGAGCAGCTGAGTCCTTCTCCGAGGAGGCTCACTTGCCTTCAGCTGAAGAGACATATCTTGCCTGAGGTTATATAGGGCACTAAGACTCACCTGTAAAAACTGCTCCATGCTTGGTATGATACACCGAGACCTTCAAATCCAGTGCAGGCCTAGCTTCCGATGCTCATGTCCATCTGCCACATCCAGCCCACTACCCTCCCCAGCAGGTATTGACCTACTGTCCTCCCCTAGAAAATTTCTGCCAGTCTCCATCCCAGAGAACCTGAGCTGCTATGGGCTCTACATGGGGAATCTCCATCCTAGGAAGAGGAGAGGGTGGAAAACAGAGACACTGTTCTCTCCCTGACCCTGTAGGAGGGTGTGTGAAGGAAAATAGTGCCACATCCTCAAGTGGAATGTGTGCTGGAGGCTGGACAGCATCTTCGCCATTTTCCTTACAGTGGGAGAGACGCAGTTTCCAGGGCATATTCTCCAGTGTGGCGGTGTCTTCCTGGAGCTGAACCCTGTTTGCTTCTTGCCCAACATGGAGCGTGTCTCGGAGCCTTTCCGTCCTCCCTTGGGCTTGCAGAGGAAACTCCTCCCCTGCCGAGGTCCAAAGCTCCAACTCCACCTGACCCTGGCATCCAGAAGGCCCGACATCCAGGAGGTCCCTGAAGATTCTGGCCTGGAAGTAGGGAAGAGGCTTCTTTTCAGATGCAGGGAAAAGAGCATGGCGCCCACCCCAGAAGGAAGCATGAAGGAGCCACCGTGCTGTGCAGTATGGATACCAATCCCCTTCTTCCCTTCTTCCTTTCTGTATTCTTCTTCTTTGTGAGAGCAAATGTGTATTTGGAATGAGCTGGCTGGACTGCAGATCTCTTATCCCATCTGAGCCTGTCTGGGAGGGATGGGGAGATGAGGTTATGGATGATGAGTGTCATCATGCTGGCGCACCAGCCTCCTACAGACGGTCCCTTCTTTACAGAGTTTGCAGTCTAAGAGAGCAGTTCCAAGAGGTAGCCCTCAGGCAGCAGCATGAGCATCGCCTGGGAACGTGATGGAAAGGCAAATTCTTGGGCCCCATCCCAGGCCCACTGAGCCAGAAACGAGGCGGGTGGAACTGGTGTTCTAATAAGACCACCAGGGGATGCTGACTCATGCACGAGCTTGAAAATCACTGATCTAGTAATTTTCTGTCACAGGAGGTAACCAGCATTTCCCATACAGGGGCAAGTAATAAGTATTTTGGATTTTATAGGCCATGCCTGTCTCAACTATTCAACTCCAGCAGTGTAGGACTTCACATTTATGACAGTACAGAAACAAACAAGGGGGTGTGTGTCTGTGTCCCAACAAAACTTTACTTATTCATGAAGACAGGTCCCCCTCCTGAAGTAGGATAAAATAATAAAGCTTGGTAGAAAGGAGACTAGGAAAAATCATGATTTAGTACTTTTGAGAGAACTGCAGGGCCAGGGATTAGCTCAGTGGTGCCACCACCTGCTTACAAGCACAAGGTCCCAAGTTCGATCCTTGGTACCAAAAAAAACAAAGAGCTGCAGCTTCAGGACAGTAAAATTACTCAGGGTGAAAAATGCCTTTTTCACTTCCAGGAAACATACACACAATAAAAAACAGATCCTCCCCCCCAAAAAAAGCCAAACAAACAAAACAAAACATAAAGGGTTTTAAAGAGACAATAAACCTGTAAACTGGGCTCAGGCTTTTCATCTGTAAACTGAACCTGTATAGACTCTCAAATACCAGGCCTCCATTCTCAAGGAAACGGCTGTATTGAGTGGGTTGCAACTCAACTTCATGCAAATGGTTTGCATTCTAACCCAGCCCTAGTGTCTGACAGACACTAGGAATATTCAGCCCAGAAATCTTTTCTGGTACTAAGGGATTGAACCCAGGCCTTTGCACTGAGACACATCCACAGCCCTTTTTTGCTTTTATTTTTATTTTATTTCTTTTAAGTCCTTTTGAGAAGGTCTCACTGAGTTGCTAAATTGCCCAGGTTGGGCTCAAACTTGCAGTCTTCCTGTCTCAGCCTCCCTGAGTGCTGGGTATTACAGGTGTGCACCATCATGCCAGGTTTACATTCTAGATCCCAAGACCACATAAAAGCCCCAGCCTTGGGCTATAACGCATCTCCTTCTCTGAGGACCCACACTCCCTTCAGAGTACTTTTTCTGCTTATGAAACCTTTCTGTGCCTCTCATGTCTCACTATTCTCTGAGATTAAGTCAGCAAATCTACAAGCTACCCCTGGTGGGGTAAGGAGATGTCCTCTTAGGGGCATCTCTATATCCTATCTTGTGACACACCCAACATTTCTACCTTTTTTCTGATTTCTAACTCACAGGCAATCTTTGGATAATAATTTGTATTCTCAGGAACACCTGAAAGAGAGGAATCTCTATACAGAATATTCGTGTATTCTGGTCTCTGAGGTATCATCATTATAAATGAATACATTAATCTTGAGTTAGAGTGAGTCAGTCACAAACAAACGAGCTTTTATGAGATTGCTCAGAATACTCACTGGAGGCTTAAAACCCTCTATAATGGACATGTGATAGAAGATGCCTCCTCCAAAAATGTCCACAATCTAATGCCATCAGCCTAAGAGACTGTAGCTGGCTCTGGCCAAAGGGATTCTGCAGATACAATTAACTTCTAGGTTTTGACATATGGAACATCTTGGCTGATCCCTGTGCACTCAATGTAATCACAAGGATCCTTATAAGAAAAGGAGATGAGAGGGTGGAACAGGGTCAGAGAGAAGTTTGAAGTCACTGCACTGCAGGTTTTGAAATTGGAGGAAGGCTCTGTGAGCCAGAAATGCAGGTGGCCCCAGAAAGACTAGGATTCTCTCTTACAGCTCCAAGTAGAGGGCGGCCCTGCTGACCCTTTTTTTTTTCTAATTTTTTTAAAAATTTTTATTTTATTCAATTCCCTCCACCACCTCCACAACATAAAACAATAAATATGTACCATGTTAAGGCACTGAATTTGTGGAAATTTGTTACAGCAGCAGAAGGGAACAAATACAGACAGGGCACAGGGCTGGCCAAGCATTTTACGCATGCTTTCTTTGGCTGGTCTTGCTGTTAGTGCAGGTATTGCTAACTCATCCACTCCCTTCTCCTGAACTGATGAAGGCAGGGGATTCTTTCATGTTGTGATTTTGGTCTTGTATGTCGTCCAAAGGCCCATATGCTAAAGTCTCAGTTGCCACCCTGTGGTACTACTGGGAGGTGGTACAACCTTAGAAAAGTGGGCCTTTGGGGTGAGCCCATGAAGGGCACATAGAGACCTCGGCCCCTTTCCTTCTCTCTCTTCAATCCCCTGCCACCGTGCAGTGAACAGCCCTCCTCTCCGGTGTGCTCCTCATCATGCTGCTCTGCCTTGCCACAGGCGCAAATCCTCAGAGCCAACCCACCATGGACTGAAATCTCTCGGAAACTGTGAGCCAAAATAAACATTTCCTGCATTGAAATTGCTTATCCCCAATTATTTTGTTACAGTGATGGAAACTTAACAAATACTTTACCACCCTTCTCCCCAGGGAGTCAGTTTTATCTATTGGCCCAAACTGCAGTGCAAGAATGGGTCAGTACCTGGGTGTAAACAACAAAACCTATTCTGATTAATGGAAGGAGAAAAAAGAATCTGTGAAAGGCCATCAGGGGGCTTCAGCCTCACAGGAAGGTCAGCACATAGTATGGGTGCCGTACAATAGGAAGAATACCCGAATCACACTTGCAGACTGGGCCATGCACTTTGGCCACCAACACTGTTACACACTGGAAGCCACCACTGTTCCTGAATGCCAAACTGACATCCTCAAAGCAAATTCCACACGGGGCTGACCCTCATGGAGCTGTTCCTCATTGCTCTACAAAAGGTCAGGTCTCTTTCCTTGCTACTTGAATGTAGCTGGTGGATCAGCAGCATTGAGCCTCAGGCTGCAGTTAGTCAGCTTTGCATTACTATAGCAAGTAGGTGAGTAATCAGTTCACAAAGAGAAAATTCTATCCAGGCTCACCATGTCTGAGGTTGTAGCCCATGACTGATTGGCTCCATGAGGCCATACACCCTGACAAGAGCACTTCTTAGCAGAGCAAAGCTGCTTACCCCATGGCCAAGAAGTGAAAGACGGGGAGGGAGAGGACTAGGCTCCCATAATCCTCTTGGGAGGCACAGACCCAATGACCTAAAGACCTCCCGCTGGACCCAGCCCCTTACAGCATCCACCATCTTCTAACAGAGCCACCCTGAGGACAATACCTTTATCACATACACCTTGGGGATGCTCCAGATGCCTCCATTTAACAAGATCCCTGGGGGATTCCAATGCAGTGATGTGTGAGAAGCTCTGTTCCACTTCACCCCAGCTCTAGTGTGAGCAGCACAATGTGTAGGCCCCTGTCCCTTCCCAAAAACCCCAAGGCAATGCCCCAGAAACACACTGTTCAGCACAGAGCACTCAAATATTCACCAGGCAAAGGAGACAAGGGAGGCTGAGGGAAAGTAAGGGCCCCCAATGTTGTGATTGATTAAAGAAATACAATGGCAAACTTCCAAGGCTGATGTTTTAAATCAGAAAATATGTATGATATAAGTTGTCCAGGTACCATAAAGATGTTTTATTCATTACATCTGATTCAACCAGACCTGGTGTCAGCTAGGACTTGGCATACCCTGGATCATCTGTCTTCCACACATGGGAAATGGCTGCCTTTGATCATTATTTGGCACAGTTGCTACAATTTGTGAATTGACTAAAACAAAATGAACATGGAGAAACAAATTGGTCTTTATCCTGAGTTTCTAAAGAGATTCTTTCAGAGTACAAAGAAAAGTGTT